AATGAACCTTAGTTATTATGAACTATTATGAGCCATGTGACTGGAAGTCACTAACCATTGATTATGTTAATCACGCTGACCCCGACCAAGTAGTTTGGACTTTTCTATATTGCCCAGTACAATGGTGAGTGTCTTTATAGACCAAATCTGTGTCTTGGTTTGGCGGCTCTTTTATACATATTCATTCATTTAAACACGCAAAAACCGGTACAAAGGGACACTGAAATATATAAGCACCACATAAATCATTCAGTTTGTCTGTGGGTAAAAAAACTGTTCGGGTGCACGTGTCGAAGCAGGAGGTTTTTTTAGAATACATCCCGAGCACTTGACCCTGAAGTATAATCGACAAGGCAGTGAAGTAACATTAGGACAGGCGGTCCCATGGTACTCAGTGACAAATAATATGTTCATACTCCATGTACTCTCTGAGGATCCTGCAACTCATATGCAGCATTGGTTTATAATCAAAATTTTTCAACTCCACTGGGTGGATGATTTTTACTCAGCAACCCGGTCCAAGCGCATTTCGCCTCCTCAATTTCGTAAACAACACCTCCACTACAAAAAGGTTCTGAGTAGCATTTACCTAGCAGTGGCTATATACGCGTAACCACATGAGGAGATTTCGAGAAGGAGAGCTTACCCTCATCACCTTAGGCCACACCAGGGTATTTAGCAGGCATCTTTAGCTAAAATCAAAACACAATGCATGCAATTTCAAGTCACATGGACTAGTGAATATAATGCAGCTTGATCGATAGAATTCAATCAGTATCAAGGAATAGGTAGGGATGATATTACTTACTTACTTACGCCTGTTACTCCTCGTGAAGGAGCATAGGCCGCTCACCAGCATTCTCCATCCAACCCTGTCCCAAGCAATCCTTTCAAGCTCTTTCCAGTTCTTATTCATCCCTTTCATATCTGCTTCTATTTCCCGACGTAATGTGTTCTTTGGCCTTCCTCTTTTCCGCTTCCCTTCAGGATTCCAAGTTAGCACTTGTCTCGTAATGCAGTTTGATGATTTCCTCAATGTATGTCCTATCCATTTCCATCGTCTTTTCCTAATTTCCTCTTCAGCTGGAAGCTGGTTGGTTCTCTCCCACAAAAGGCTGTTGCTGATGGTATCCGGCGAATGGATGTTGAGTATCATGCGTAGACAGCTATTAATAAATACCTGTACCTTCTTGATGGTGGTTGTAGTAGTTCTCCAAGTTTCAGCTCCGTACAGTAGAACTGCCTTGACGTTGGTATTGAAGATACTGACATTGATATTGGTTGAAAGTTGTTTTGAGTTTCATATGTTCTTCAGTTGAAGGAATGCCGCTCTAGCTTTGCCAATCCTCGCCTTGACGTCTGCATCTGAACCTCCTTGTTTATCGACGATGCTTCCCAGGTATGTGAAGGATTCCACATCTTCCAGAGTTTCGCCATCAAGAGTGATTGGATTGCTGTTCTCCGTGTTGTGTTTGAGGACCTTGGTTTTCCCTTTGTGTATGTTGAGGCCTACTGATGCAGAGACTGCTGCTATGCTGGCTGTCTTTATCTGCATTTGTTCGTGAGGGATGATATTGATTACAAATAAATAATCTGTCACATAAATGGTCAATTAAATCTTGAATAGCTAAAAGTCATAATGTCTCAGAATGTAAAGCTTAGTGATACAGGTTTGAACGCAACAGGTAAGATTAGTTCCCTGAAGATTCTAAGAGTACACATTACTGAGTAGTGTTAACTAACATAAAACTTGAAGATTTCCTTCTATTTATCTCCGGCCACAGAGAAAAAAAATACAAAAGCATGACAGAATAAACTTAGGAAACGTCAAATATATTGTAGATTGATGATGGTAATGATTAGTTGAGGATTTTTTTGGTGAGGGGGAGTTGATTTATTATACAACTGTTCATGCAACATGAATACATATGTATATATGATACTTCTTACAGAAGTTAAGAAAAATGGATAAACGTAGAATGGAATAACTGACTGAAATAACATGGAAATCTGTAGAGAGATGACTTAAGGGTTATCTTCACCAATCGACTGTCAACTAATAAGATTATAAGTTTAAGTTATGCTTTGCCTACATTAGATAGTTGGGACATGTGTTACGTATACCAAATCAATGCCTACTTTGACGGGAAATGTTTGCTGGTGTAAGAGTATATTGGAGGAAAGTTAGAAGTAGTCAGTTGAAGACGTGATATCATGTCATGAAATCATTAGCTGTTGAACTGACCCGGTGTTGGTAATCTCAGACTACCTAGTTTGGGCTCATGTTATAACCGTAAGCAGTGATTGAAGTGGTTCAGAATCAGTTACAATAATGCAGGTGCATTTACTCTTTGTCTTTCTTAGGTCTTGCGTTTTAAAATTATATTTTTGTACTTTTTAATACCCAGATTCATTCTTCTAGAATTATATTATCTGTGTCTAATATTTTGTACTACCATAGATATTACTACTTATACTACTACTTTGGCATTCGTCCCGATAATCCCCTCGTGATATGATGTGGAAGTTTGGATCAATACATATATTTTCCAGGTTCTTCGTTGCTTAAGATTAACTGAATTCGGTTTGATCAGTCGAGTGGCATCCCAAGTCCTCATCACATTTACATCTTGGATTAAAGTCAATTACAAAAATATGACTGAAATTATGAGCAGATCTAAGTCAGACAACCATTGAAAACCTGGAAATACTGACTGGTCGTTTCATCCTAGCATGGGATTCATCAACAATGCGCAACCACGACTAGTGAAGCTTAACCGTGTTGTATGTGAGGAAGTTAAACACCGGATACAATGGAAGATGGTCGAACAATATTGTGGGTTAGTTGAAGTTAGACTTACAAACTGTTGAATACCAACTCAATAGTCTAGAAGTTAAGCATTCGTGCGCGATACTAAAGGTTCTGATTCCGATTTTCGGTTGCGGGATCGTGGATGTGCACTGCCGCGGAGTCCCATAATAGGACAAAACAGCCATCCAGTGTTTTCAGGTTTTTAATGGTGGTCTAACATCAATCGACTCATGATCTCAATCAGATACCAATGTATTAGTGATAATATCAGAGATTGTGGTGAGACTATAATTTATAGACATCCTTTAAGCGACTCTAAAGTGGCCTTGAGAATATCTGCCTACTTACTAGGGCTGAATAAGAATTCTAAACCTGCGTGAAGAATAAGCATTATAATTTATAATTGATGGTTAGAGTTAACAATTAGATTTAAAGTTTTCATTATGAACTAACATTATCTGCAATGATAAAACGCTATTTAGCTAAATGGATGAATGGATTTCGCACCGAAATTCAAAACCTGTTATCCTAAATCCGATTGGTTCGTTCGTAAATTATAGTCTTGCTATTCATGTGTTTCATGTTCTTCTAGGTTATATTTATGTATTTTGTTGACCTGGCTTAATTCAATAACGTATAATATTAGCTAAATTCCTTTTTAATACTAACCAATTAGTATTCACTTGGTATTATTTATTTGAATCTTCCCATTGGTGTTTGGGGCTTTGATTGATCAGTCTCTTATTGGTATATGTGTATCCTGTGCGGATTGCTTTGATATCGCCTTAAGTCGTAAGCATTATAAGCAAAGATGGATAGTGGCTAGCAATGAAATCTAGTAAGACGCGCGTTCCGTCTAATTTGGGACTTGTCAGCTGGATGTATCTGTATCTCAGAGTTGATGTTCACTCTAAGACTAGAACCAATTATCGTTTGCCTTAAATGTCATCGAGTTATCCACTTGGCTACTGAGCGACCAAGAAAAAACAACTCTCATCATACCTCTCATAGCATTCAAAATCATCTTAAGTAGGGAGGATACTATCATTATTTAGCTAGATGTTGCTCCACAAATTTGCGACGGTCATGTGGCTGATATTCATATTCATGAAGAAAACTCAACTTCAAACTTTACAATTATTCATAAAAGGTATAATCAAAAGGGATATATATATTACAATACCTCTTATTTATTTATTTGCACACATAAACATTGGTACAAGGAGGCAACAAATACATATGTGCCACACAAATCAAATGCGATTTGTGTGAAGGCTGTGATACTGCCTGAGTGCCCAAACCGAAACAGGTGGTTTTCTTAGAGGGCCACTTCTCGTGTCTTCGACCTAAAGGTCTGATTCACAAGGTAGTGGAGCATCGTAAGGAGATGTAGTCACATGGTTAGCCGGTGACCAACGATTAGTTCATACGCCATTTATTCCCTCAGGATACTGGAGAACAAGTGCACCATTGGTTTGGAATGAGGGTTTTCCAACTCCCCTAGGTGGACTCTCTATGTCCACCAACCCGGTTAAAACCGGTGCCGGAAATTTGCTTTTCGTTCTCTCAATTTCGTAAATAACAATAATTTTGCGAGCAAACAGTGAGTATTACTCCCCTGGCAGAGGTTATATACACGTGGCCATGTAAGAGCATATCGAGAGGACTCTCCCCACTCTTAACCGTACCAGAGCATTTGAAGGCCACAGTACCTCAGAACAGGAATATCACTTTGAACACCAAGGAAGAGTGTAATTTATTTTGAGTGCTTACCACTAAGTGATAACAAGTAAAGAAGAATCACCAATCGTTCCAAGCTGAGTATTTCCAAAGATTTAACAATTCAACCTAGTAGTATCAAGTACTAGGACATGTCAACCAACACATAACCTTGATCTATAACTTCCACTTATGTAACACTAAGCATGTCCATCACGATTATACCAATAACTCGAACGGACATATATACCGAGACTTGGTCGATCAGTTAATTCAATAAACATTAATGAATAAACAGTAGTATGACATTGATTAGTATATTTGATATCCTTCTATTAGCCTAGCCTTTTGATTATTACTATTATATTCACTCTAAATAAGATACATATGCAATGTAGTAATATAACTAATACTGCATAAAATAAGCATTCCATATAATGGATAGCTGAGTCCCCTTCCTCCTTCTCCTCCTCCTCCTCCATCAAATATATGTACCAGATAGACATGTACTTGAATAGATTTCACAGTCTATCAAAAACACCAGACTACTTTAATAACTTCCGGTCTGATTTGTACGTTTACATATGTATGCAATGAATTCGATAAATGTACTTTGCATTTCTGAAAAAAAACACAACCTTAGTTAAACTAACTGAATGGTTGGTACTAATACTGTGACTACTACTACCATTACTACTACTACTACTACTACTACTACTAATAATAATAATAATAATAATAATAATAATAATAATAATAATAATAATAATAACAATAATAATAATAATAATAGATATAGTAAAACATAGTATATATAATTACGATAATTAGTAAGACAATCTTGCTAGACTAATGATGAGAGAAAGAAATGTGAAGGTTGACTGTGTATTTGTATATATGCAGAATGTGATGACAATGTCTAACTTGTATTAGAATTGTAAATCTGATGTTTATCAGTAATTGATGAAGTGGGAAATTTGTTCAGAACTCTTCAAAGGTATGGTACATTAAGAAAATAAACCTGATTCGGCTTAGGCATCCAGGTAACATCTCAGCCCTTACATAAATCAAATGATTTATGTGGTGCCACCTCCCTGTACCAATGTCCATGTGTTTAAATAAATAAATAAATAAGTAATTTGAATGGTTGAGATCATGAGTCAATGGAAGCTAGACAACCATGGAAAACATGGAAGCACTGAATGGCCGTTTCGTCCTATTGTGGGACTGCTCAGTGGCAGTGCTCATCCACGATGCCGTCTCATGAAATTCGAACCCTGGACATATCAGTTGAATGTACCTGAATCTCAGAGTTGATATTTACTCTGTGAATCGAACCCATTATCGTTCGCTTCAAACACCTACGGAGTCCTGATAGCCACCAACTGACGGGTCCTAAATAAGCGAAAACGCGCGTCTTACTGGATTCGATTGCTAGCCATTATCCATTTTTGCTTATAATGCTTGTGACTTAAGACTATATCGAGGCGATCCACACAGTATGTACATATGTCAATGAAGAGACTAATCAATTTCAATCCTAGGTAACAATGGGAAGTATTCAAGTAAAACAATGCCCGGTGAATTCATGATTAAATATTTGTCAAACTATAGATATGAATTCAAGATTAAGTTTATTCGAACAGTCATTAAATAAAAAAATACGAGGTACTAGATAATTGTTTCATCATAGTATGATACTCTTCAGCAGTGAACAATTATGATCTGATCAATGATTGAACTGAGGGGAAATTCAAAGGAACAATCAAGTCTGAGATGCTTGAGTGATATATTGCAAATAAAGTATTCACTGTATGATAACATTCTATAATCTTATTCTTATAGATCATGTCAGTCATAGAGGTAATCGTAGGATCTGATAATAAATGAATGTTTCAGTTCAAACTGTCACATTTTAAATTAGAACAGAGATAAACAGACGAAATGAACACGTGAAAGCTAAAGCAAATGAATGGAAATGAACATACTAATCTTTAATTGAAGACTATAGATCTATGAAATATAATTCAAGAAAGAATGAATAAAATGGTAATAATCAGTTTAGGGGTTGTGGAGATTGTTAAGTTTTTGATTGAGATCCTGAACCGATTGATGTTAGAACACTATTGAAAACCTGGAAGCACTGGACTTCGTGGAGTAGTTGAGGTTAGACATTAACACCATTGGATGCCGAAGTTCATGCGCGAGACTGAAGGCCCTGGGTTCAAATCCCGTGAGCGGGATCGTGGATGAGCATTGCTAAGGAGTCCCACAGTAGGACGAAACGGTCGTCCAGAGCTTCCGGGTTCTCAATGTTGGTCTAACATTAATCGGTTCATGATCTCAATCAAAATGGTAATATATAAAATTTCAACACATAAATTCTATTACATAATCACTTATATGATGATTGTTTCTAAACGAGTTCATAGGATGAGTACCAAAGTGGCTTGTTTGAATATCTGGGCTACCTGTTCCTACCATCTATATATTTCATCAAGTTATCTGTTTAATTGTTTGTTTTAATACATCATTATTGGCTATTAGTCGCATAACCTATTCATGTGCATCTGTCAAAAGTATACAACCCTTCGTTTTTATAAGTTACAAATAAGCTCAATCAAAGACATTGTGGTTTCTAGCAATATACATAGAAAAGAATCTACAATATTCAGATGACAATTCCTGAAATGCTAACATATAACTGCTAATCATTTAGTATTTATCGTCAATATCGATCAAGAAGTAAGAAACGAAAACTTGTTGAAATACATTATGCTGAGAATTCTATGTTGTACGAAAACTATGATGTTACCAAATGACATGGTACGGCTGAGAGTGAGGAGAGTCAGCTCTCTTTCTCTCTCTCTTTCGAAATACTCTCACATAGCCACGCGTATATAGGGAAGTCATACTCATTGTTTGCTGGAGACATTATTGTTGTTTACGAAATTGAGAGGATGAAAAACAAATGTACGACACTGGCTTTATCCGGGTTGGTGGACATAGAGAGTCCACCTAGGGGAGTTGGAAAACCTTCATTCCAAACCAATGGTGCACTTGTTCTCCAGTATCCTGAGGGAATAAATGGCGTATGAACTAATCATTGGTCACCGGCTAACCATGTGACTACATCTCCTTACGATGCTCCACTACCTTGTGAATCAGACCTTTAGGTCGAAGACACGAGAAGTGGCCCTCTAAGAAAACCACCTGTTTCGGTTTGGGCACTCAGGCAGTATCACAGCCTTCACACAAATCAAATGCGATTTGTGTGATGCATATGTATTTGTTGCATCCTTGTACCAATATACATATATGTTTAAATAAATAAATAAATACAATAAAAACTAATAATATTGAGTAAAGCCACTAATAATAATAATAATAATGTATGTATGAGAACTTTATTAACCCTCATTTATCAGGTACAGACTCATGTATTTGGCTTTAAGTCACAATTTAAGTGTGATGACTAGTATGAAACTATCCAATTACAAAAAAAGGAGACTGATATAGAGGTAAGGGAATTTTAAACCTTCAATTTGATTGTTAATAATTGAATATAATAATCACTAAGTCACTCCACCCTATACTCACATAATAATACGGTCATTAATATTTTTTTATTTGTATCTAGTATGAGATCATTGTAAATTAGTCATTACATATATTTAAGCGTTTGAGCGTGAAACCGATAGGTTCTGGTTTCGAATCTCACGAGATGGGGTAGAGGATGCGCACTGCCACTGAGGAGTCCTACAATATAACGAAAGGGCCATTCAGTGATTAAAGGTTTTCCATAGTTGTCTAACTTCAATTAACTCATGATCTCAACTATTAAAATGGAAATGTATCGTATTTCTTGTATTCTATTCTGTCTTTTTCAATTATATCAATGGTTATCATATTATTTTAATGTACTTTGCTATCCCATCTTGTCGTAGTATTATGGTATGATAACTTGATCATCAGATTAAATACATCACTGAAGTAGGTTCACACATATTCCTTTCTATCATTCAAACTTGTGTTAATTTACTTCGGTTATGTATTCATCCTGATGAAATAGCTTAAATTAAGTTACGAAACGTCAGAAATACAATTTTCCTTACTTATTGGAATATAACAAAACAATTTACTTCTTATTAGCACCCTATTCAATGTTCAATTTACTTGAAACTATCAAATCCAACCTTGATATTGATACCTATGAATAATTATTATTGAAAATGAATAAAAAGTCGATTGTAGAAACAAAAAAAAAAAACAAAAAAAAACTAACCACCAAATCGAAACTCAGTTGTAAGTCCAATAGTTTTGGTATATAACAGTTAATTTTACCGGTACCTTTATTTTTTATATAATTAAGTAGGTAGAGTATTATACAAACCTGTTTAAAAACTTAAGGGAGATGTTTTAATCATCAAATTGTCATTGTATAATTGATTGAAGTTAAATATTAATACCGTTGAATACCGGTTCAATGGTTTAAAGGCTAAGCGTTTACCCACGAGACCGGGAATCTTCAGTTCGAGTCTCACGAGGCGGGATCGTTAATGCACACTACCACTGAGGAGTCCCAAAATAGGACAAAACAATCGTACAATGCTTTCAGATTTTCTGCGGTGGTCTAGCTTTAATTGACTCATGTATTCAACTATTAACTTGTTGTAATACTGACAAAATCCCTATTTGAATATCTTATTATGTTTGTTATGTAATATAATCTGTATAAAACAAATAATGAATGATAATGTACTTTATTATTCTAATGATTATTCCATTGTTATTATTTTTGTCTGAATCTTGATCATTTTTGGCTCTTGTGAGAATTACTCCGATCTAGCTATTATGATACAAGTTTATATAGACTAAATAGAATATGACTAACATTTCAAATTAAATACCTTTGGTATAAATAATTAGTTACTCTCACCCTTTCTCTTTCTCCTGGTGATCGACTGGATCATGAAGACATCAACATCTGAAGGGAAGCACGAGATACAGTGCATAGCTAGGATGCAATTGGATGATCTAGACTTCGCAAATGATCTGCCTCTTCTATCGCATACGCAACAACAAATGCAGGAGAAGACAACCAATGTAGCTGCAGCCTCAGCAGCAATAGGTCTCAATATACACAAAGGGAAAAGCAAGATTCTTCGATACAACACAGCATGCACCAATCCAATCACAATTGACGGAGAAGCTTTGGAAGATGTAAAAACCTTTACATATCTGGGCAGTATCATCGATGAACACGGTGGATCTGATGCAGATGTGAAGGCACGGATTGGCAAAGCAAGAGCAGCATATTTACAACTGAAGAATATCTGGAACTCAAAACAATTAGCAACCAACACCAAAGTCAGAATTTTCAATACAAATGTGAAGACAGTTCTACTGTATGGGGCGGAAACCTGGAAAACTACGAAATCCATCGTCCAAAAGATACAGGTGTTTATTAACAGTTGTCTACGCAAAATACTTCAGATCCGCTGGCCGGACACTATTACCAACAACCTACTGTGGGAGAGAACAAATCAGATCCCAGTGGAGGAAGAAGCGTTGGAAGTGGATAGGACACACATTGAGGAAAGCACCGAACTGCGTCACAAGACAAGCCCTCACATGGAATCCTCAAGGTCGAAGGAGGAGAGGAAGACCAAAGAATACATTACGCCGGGAAATGGAGATAGATATGAGAAAAATGCACAAGAATTGAATGGAACTAGAAAAGAAGGCCCAGGACAGAGTGGGTCGGTTGGAGAATGCTGGTTGGCGACCTATGCTCC